GAAACTCATATAATATATGCATACAGTATACAAGCTACTACACTATAACAGCAGCAGCAGCAGCAGCAGCAGCAGCAGCAGCTGCTGCTGCTGCTGCTGCTGCTGCTGCTGCTGTTGCTACTGCTGTTGTTGGTGCTGCTTACCTTTGCAATAGGCACATGTGCAGGTATAACTTCTGTATATCCAATAGAGAAAGTCTCCATTAAATACTTTGCCTATACACACCAACAAAAGGGGACAGTCTCCTTCCTGTCTCCTTATCCCATCTCTCCCTCTCCCTCTTTTTTGCTCCAGCAGCAGCAGTAACAGCAGCAGCAGCAGCAGCAGCTTACCACTCGTAGTTTGGCTAGTTGCTCTGCCTTTGGTAAGTTACCAGGCAGCAGCAAGCATGCATCTATGTCACTCCCTTTTACCCTGCACATACACCACATGCATGCGTGCACCGTTGCTGCTGCTGCTGCTGCTGCTGCTGCTGGTTTTGCTGATTGTATTGTTGCATTTGCTGTTGCGGCTCAGAATGCTGCTGCTCCTGCATGCTGCTGCATGCATGCAATAAAGCCCCAAAAAAGGATACTTACCAGAAGCCGTTGTCACAAGACCCAAATGTAGCTAACGACCCCCCTAGATGGTGCTGCAGCAGGGGACGCAGCCTGCGCAGCAGCAGCAACAGCAGCAGCAACAGCAGCAGCAACAGCAACAGAAGCATCAGCGTCAGCGTGTATGCATGCATGCATGCACTAGGGCTGCTTATAATTGACAAGAAGAGCAGACAAACAGTTAGGGTGTACGTACACCTGGAGCAGGACGCGTTTTAGTTCGTATTGCTGCGCCCGTGGCTGCAGCGAAGCATCTAGTGCAGCAATAGCAGCAGCAAGCTGCTGCTTGTACCTGCAGCAGCAGCAGCAGCAACAGCAGCAGCAATGAAAATAAGACCCCACAGAAGCTGCTGCAAGAACAGCAGCGAGAGCAGCAACAAGGGCAAAAACACACACGTCGCCAGCAGCAACAACACAAATAACATCAGCAGCAACAGCAGCAGCCCAAGCAGCAGCAGCAGCAGCAAAAGGAGCAGCAGCAGCAGCTTACGGAGGCATTGTCGCTGTGTTAGTTCTTTCCTTCTCTCGTCGGCATTTGCATGCATAAAGAGCTCCAGCATAACAGACAGTCAGCAGCAGCAACAGCAACAGCAGCAGCAGCAGCAGAAGGGAGGGTACAGCTTATCGGCGGTGGTTAGCAACTGTTCACGCAGCCGCTCTTGCTGCACCTGCTGCTGCTGCTGCTGCTATAACTTCTGCTGCTGTTGCTGCTGCTGCAGTTGTTATCATGGCTGTTACTTCTTCTGATAGCTGATGCCCTTTATAGTATTGCTGCTGCTGCTGTTGCTGTTGCTGCTGTTGTTGCTGCTGCTGTTGCTGCTGTTACTGCTGACCCACCAACTGCTGATGCACCTTGCGGCGGAATTAGCAGCTACTGCGCCTGTGCCTATGGCTGTTGTTGCTGCAGCTGCTGCTGCCTCCACTGTATTGACGACAGTGGCCAATAGAGCGAGGGTCTAGTAGGGTATACGGTTTAGGGTTTAGGGTTTGGTAGGGTTTATGGTTTAGGTTTTAAGCATAAATGCTCAATATTGGGGGATAAGGGTTTAGGGTCTAGTGTGTAGGGTTTCGGGTTTGGTTCTTAGGGTTTAGGGTTCAGAGTTTAGGGTTTAGCGTTTACGATTTAGGGTTTAGGGTTTAGGGTTTGGAAGGCGTGGGGCCCCTAGGGCTAAGGGCCCCTCCTTGTAGTTTTGTTGCTGCTTAGCTGCTGCTAAGTAATATTATTTGTCTTTCTTCTTTTTTGCCTTAATTAATAATAAATAAAATAAAATAAATAAATAAAAATAAAAGGGGAGGAACTAATAGGAAGCCACGGGGTGTCAGCAAGAAATGCAAGCCCCAGTACTGCTCCTGCTCCTGCTGCTGCTGCCGTTGTCGCTGCTGCTGCCGTGTATGCATGCGCTGCTCTTGCCTGTATTTTGGGGCTTTTTCTTCCAATAGTTATATTTCTTCCTAATAATTTAAGTGTCTGTATATCCGTATTAACACACAGCTGTACATACACCTGCGGCTCCCGCCTCTGCTGCTGCTATTGCTGCTGCCGCCGCCGCTGCTGCTGCTGATACATAGCAGGAGAGAGGGAGATCTTCTAAAACTTGTGACTTTTGTGCTGCTAGGTGAAAGCAGCAGCTGCAGCAGCAACATCTGCTTCACCAACAGCAGCAGCAGACACACGCCACAGCTGCGGACTGTTAACCTGTCAGCAGCAGGGGAGCAGCAGCAGCAGCAGCCGCCGCTGAAGCAGCAGCAGCAGCAGAAGCCATCTACATAGAAGACCTAACAGGAGCTGAGGCCATTCCCTCCGCGATCATATTAGCTGAGCCCCCTAAGGAGGCCGCTGCTGCTGCGGTTGCTGTTCCTGCTGTTGCTGTTGCTGCTGTTGCTGCTGTAGACTGTCCGCAACCGTAGTGAAGATGGCGGAGCCTGGGGGAGGAGGCTCTGCTGCTGCAGCAGGAACAGCTGCAGGAGCAGCAGCAGGGGCAGCAGAAGAAGCTCCGCAGCAGGGTTTCTTAGGTAAGGATTTGTTTATATTATAATATCTGCGAAGTTGCTGCTGCTGCTGCTGCTGTCTGTTCCTGCTGCTGCTTCTGCTCGACCCAACACTTTTTGGGCTTGTGCATGCATTGGTATGTATATATCCAAATGCATGCATCCAATTGCATGCAAATGCATGCGTCTGCATGCATGCTTTCATGTATATATGTGCATGCGTGTGCATGCATTATGCAGCACGTATGGCTTCCATGGTGCTAAAGATAATGTTGCTGCAGACATTAATAAACATGGCATCTTCTTTCTTTAATCCTGCTGCTAATACACCGCAGCAGCTGCAGCAGCAGCAGCAGCAACTCAAGAATGTGCTGCAACCAGGAGCAGGATTTGTCAGTTAATGCTGCTGTTGCTGCTATTGCTGCTGTTGTTGTTGCTGCTGCTATTGCTGCTGTTGCTGTTGTTGCTGTTATTTCTGCTTCTGCTTTTGCTGCTGTTGCTGCTGTTCCCTGGCCCTAGTAGACAGATATATATGAGGAGACAGGAGACACCTCAGGTGTATAAGTGTCTCCTTTTTTATGTGTCTCCTTTTTGTCTCTTTTTGTCTCCTTTTTTTTTTGTGTGTCTCCTTAGGACGCCTTTGTACATTTACATTATATGCCATCTGCTGCTGTCTCCTCATTGTCTCCTTCTTTATCTCCGTTGTCTCTTCCTTTGTCTCCTTCTTTGTCTCCTTCCTTGTCTCCTTATAATATAAACCCTCAAGAAAATAATAATAATAATAATAATAATAAACCCCCCTGGGGTTTAGGGTTTATGGTCCCTCCCCCTAAACCCTTTCTTCCTTATCTAAACCCTAATTTTATTATACCCCTAAAAACCCTCAATAATAAACAGCAGCAAATTACGTATTGCCCTCCGCCCCCCCAACCTGCAGCAGCAGCAGCAGCAGCAGCAGAGGGAGCAGAGGGAGCAGCAGGAGGAGAAGCAGCAGGAGCATCGGACCAAGGGACATCATTATCATCAGCAGAAACAGGAGAATCAGGAGCAACAGCAGCAGCAACAGCAGCAGCAGCAACAGCAGCAGCAGCAACAGGAAAGTGTGACAATCCTGTATATTTACCAGCAGCAGCAAATATATTTAATTTAATGAATCAGAAGTATACATATGATTGGTGGTCTTCTTCTATAGAGAAGGAGCTGCCTATACACCTGAATAATTATTTCTTAATTCATGAAGATATAGATCTATTTCTTACCGTCACTGTTGTACCTCATGCAGCATATGATAAAAATAGAGAACAGGTACCTTGCTGCTCCTTCCCTTGCTGCTGCTGCTGCTGCTGCTGCTGCTGCTGTCTTGCTGCTACTGCTCTTGCTGCTGTTGCTGTGCTGTGGTATGCTGTTTTTGTGTTGTTGTATGCATGCATGCATGCATGCATTTGTGCATGCACAACCTACATGTGTTACTGTATTGTTATTTGTTGTTGCTGCTGCTGCAGATGACGGATGAGGAGGCAGCAGCAGCAGCAGCAGGATTACCTGAGCGTCTCCTTATCCAGAGGACCCAATCTCTTGTACAAAAGATGAAGCCATTAAAAGGAGACGAATCACAACATTCTCTTCTCTTTGATGCACCAGATACAACAACTACAGAAGAGGTACAATAGTGTCTCCTTTTTTCTTCTGTCTCTTTTTTTTTTGTTTGGGGGTCTGTCTCCTTTTCCTCTTCTGTCTCCTTTTTGTGGCCCTTTCTTTTGTGTGTTCTTTGTGTGTTGATGTTTTATTTGTTACCTGTCTCCTCTCTTGTGTCTTGTCTCCTATGTGTCTCCTTTTGTCTCCTTTCTGTCTGTCTCCTCAGGACTCTTCTGCAGAGCCAATACGCCATCTAAAGAATCGTCTAGATGTCTCCTTAGTTTATGATACCTCCATCCATAACTCCGCGTCACTGCATGCAGGGCCCTTACAGAGTCCGTTCTAGGGTTTAGGGTTTAGGGTTTAGGATTGAGGGTTTAGGGTTTATTATTCATACATAAGGAATCGTTGCTCTAGACCTCTAAGAGAACGCAGCTTCACGCCCTTGGATGTCAACTTGAGTGGTTTAAGCCCAAGGGTTTAGGGTTTAGGGTTTAGGGTTTAGGGTTTAGGGTTTATGGTGTATTCAGGTCTTAAGCTCCGCTATACAGAAGGGACTTACGAGCCAATGATTTATATTTCTGATTTTTGGCTAATTGAGAAAAATTTTATTCCTATTAATGATACTCTTGCTGTACGTCTTATATACTGTCTCCTTTTCTTTTTGTCTCCTTTTTGTCTCCTTTATGTCTCCTCCTGTCTCCTTCTGTCTCCTACTGTCTCCTACTGTCTCTCTCTGTCCCTTTCACCCCCATTTAGTCTCCTTTTGTTTTCTATTTGTCTCCTTTCTGCATCCATTAGTGTACATCCAATCAAACACTAAACCCTAAACCCTAAATAAACCCTTATAATGCAGATAATGCTATTAATAATAATAATATTAATATAGTGCATAGCTGGATGGATGGATGGATGCATGCATGCATATGCGTATGCAGGAGGAGCCGCAGAATGTAACGCTCTCGTTTGGTGTTGGTAGCGTGCATGCATGGATGCTACAGTCCCAAATGGCAGGAGTGCAGCAGCAGCAGCAGCAGCTAGGCCTACAGAATGAGAAAGAAGGGTTTATGCTAAAAAGAATACTAATAGAGACAAACCCTCTTATGCTCGCCTTCTCTGCCCTCTTTATCTTAGCACATTCTGTCTTCTCCTTCTTCGCATTCAAGAATGGTACAATATACATACATATAGAAAAAAAAGGAGACACTTGCATAAATAAACTATAAAGGAAACAGGGACAGACACAGGAAGCAAGACAGAGAAGGAGACAGAGATAGGAACGGGGACAGAAGGGGGATGCCAGAGACGGGGGCGGAGATATCCAAAGAGATACATGACAGAGGAGACACCTATAGTTGCCCAGAAAAGGAGACAGTGCCCGTGTAATTGTCTTCTATTTCTTTCTTTTTCTTGTTGCTGCTGTGTCTCCTTTATACAGATATGCAGTTCTGGTATAAGAATGAATCTATGGAGGGACTCTCTGCTGCTTCTCTTATCTTCGGTTTTGCATGCGAAGTAAGCAACTTGCATGCGTTTTGGGGCTTTTCTGTTGGCAGTCCCTCTGCATGCGCTCTACGCTCCTTCTGTTGGGGCTTTCTACTGGCTGCATGCATGCGTGCATGCATGCATGCAAGGGTTCTGCATGCTGCCTGTGCATGCATGCGTTTGGGGCTCTGTACAGGTGATTATAGGGCTTTACCTATTTGACAGCCAAGAGACCTCCTGGTTGATTCTCTTCGAAGTCCTGATTGGCATTGGTAGGCCGAGGGTTTAGGGTTTAGGGTTTAGGGCCTGCATAGTACAGTAGACAGTGTTTGAGGTTTGTAGATGTTGTGCTATCGCTGCTGTTATTCATTTGTTTATTTGCATGCATGCATCCAGTGCCTGCATGCCTGCATGCATGTTTGCATGCATATTTTGGGGCTGGATTTATTTGCAGCGATATCTGGTTGGAAGTTAACAAAGGCAATGAAGATAGAGAAGAAATCTTCTTTTCCTTTTATTAAATTTTCTTTTACAAGAAGTTATTCAGAATCAGAGACAAAAGACTATGATAGAACGGCTATTAAATACGCTAGCATTGCATTGGCCCCTTGTGTACGTTGCACCTCATGCTGCTGCTGCTGCTGTTGCTGCTGTTGCTGCTGCTGGGGGATTCTGGTTGTGCTGTTGTTGCTGCTGCGGGTGGTATGCCCGTTTTTGCTCCTCCTTCTCCTTCGACGGTTGCTGTTACTGTAGCTGCTGTTGCTGTTGCTGCTGCTGTGGCGGCAAAGGAATGCCTGTTAGGGTTCGGCGCATGCAGATTGCAGAAGACGTGTGCTCTCACTTGAGTGCATGCGTTTTGGGGCTTTTTGCTGCAGCTGGTTGGCTATGCTATCTACGCGCTGCTGAACAACAAGTACAGGTCGTGGTATTCCTACATCATTTCTGTCCTTGCAGGATCCGTCTATACCTTCGGTAAGATTAGGGTTTAGGGTGTCGGGTTCCCTTGCTGTTGGATTTTCCCTTCCTTGTGTATTTTGTCTATCTTTTTTGTGTCTCTTTGTATCTCTTTCTGCTTCTCTGTCTCTCCTCTCTCTGTATTTGGGTTTAGAGCTGAGGGTTTAGGGCTTTTTTTATTAGTATTGTTCCCGTTGTTGTTTGTTTTTCTTCTTTGTTAGGGTTTGTTCTAATGACACCTCAGCTGTATATTAATTACAAACTTAAATCTGTTGACCATCTCCCTTGGAGGGCCCTCATCTACAGGTTAGCTGCTGCTGCAGCTGCAGCTGCTGCTGTTCTTGCTGCTGTTGCCGTGCTGATGCTCGTGCTCCTGCTATTGTTCGTGGCGCTGCTGCTGCATGCACACATATGTGAATGCAGCCAGGGAAGGTTAGGGGTGCATGTGTTGTGTGCTTGGGGTGTACGCGCAGGTCTTTGAATACATTTGTTGACGACGTTGCCTCTTTCCTAATAGACATGCCATGGATGCATCGGCTGTCTTGCTTCCGAGACGGTACGTACACCGCGATTCTGCAGCAGTATACATGCATGTATGCATGCATGCGCGCATGCAGTCCTTTATTTGCATTTGGAATAGAAGTGGATGCGTATGTATGTGGTTTGGGGCCGGTTTGGGACCTTGGCCCGGTGCGCATGCATACATGCTCTTTCCATGTACATGCGCATGCACGCACGAACGCACGCATGCATGCAGCCATGTGCGCATGAACAGGGTTGTTATGGTTGTACTCAGATATAATATTTATAATATACCTTTACCAGAGATGGATATACCGCGTCGACAAAAATAGAAGACCTGGGGCAGTAGGAGAGGAGGGGACTGCCCTACAGGCCGGGGAGACAGCAGCAACGTCCACATCTGCAAGCTCTGAGGTAAGCGCTTCTGCTGCTCCTGCAGCTGCTCCTGCTGCTGCTGAAGAGGAAGCAGATGCTGCTGCTAAAGAGGAAACAGAGAAAGAGGAGACAAGCTCCCCAAGAGCCGCCAGCCAGAGGTGCACGGAGGAGCCCGAGGGCCTCAGGAGGCGTCTCCCGACGTCTACAGGAACAGAGGACAACTAAGCGAGCAAGCTCGCAGGAGCCGCAGCAGCAGCAGCAGCACCAGCCAGAGCTGCAGCAGCAGCAGCAACACCCAAGGCTGCAGCTGCAGCCAGAGGTGCAGCAGCGCGCGGTGCACGCATTGCAGCATTGTGCCGATGTGCAGGTCTTACACTCATGCAAAGGTATATACTATGGAGATGCGGATATATATTACGTAAATGTATATTGTATCTGCATATACATCTATATACATATATTTTATATGTGTTTAGATAAGAACCTTAGGTGTATGTACATGGTTTACTGCACACACAGCGCATGCGTGCAGTATGTGCAAAATATACTCCCTGTATTATATTATATGATATATATTGCGTGATATATGTATCTCCTTTAATAATCTAAACTCTCTAAACTTTTTTACGCTTATATACACATCGTACTTGCATGCGCATGCACGACTCCGTCTACAAATAAAGAAAAAAAAGGTAGAGAGAGGACTCGTTGCAGTAATGCCATTATAGGTATAGCTTAGCGTTACTCAGTTGGGTGCATGCAGTACATACACGCAACTCCGTAGAAATATATACACTTGACCTACACTATACATAATCTTGTGATGCATGCATGCATACACCGCAAAGGAAATACTTCTCTTCACGGATACACCTGAGTCAGAGCTGGTGTCCTGTGTCTAAATATTCATTTTTATTGTAGAAGTATAGAGACACATGCGAATACGTGTGGACAACCAGCTTAGGGAATAACAGCAGGGAGTCAGGCACATAATCAACCGCAGCAGCGGCAGAACCAGAAGCTACAGCAATACTAGCAGCTAGATCTACAGAGATGCGGATCAGCATCGACAGGAACAACAACCTGCTTGTTGATAAGAAGGGAATCCAGCAACACCACCAAGAGGTGCAGCAGCAAAATATGTAGCAGCAGGAGAAACAGGGCACCAAGTTGTACTACGAGGACGCAATAGAGCAACAAAAAGAAGCATCCGTTGCAGTGGCAAAGGACACAACAACAGCCCTACCCCTGAATTCACTCACATTTTGCTTGCCGAACACGCAGATGTGTATGTGTACTGTCTGGAGAGAAACCTGGGGCAGCAATGTCTGCCGCTGCTGCTGTTGGAGCATTGAATTTTCTTCCAAGTGGCATTTGTGCGTTCAACAACTGCATGCAGTGTTAATATATGCAGCAAATGGGGGGTTAGCTATGCTAAGTTGCGCAGTTGCTTTGCAGCGTCAGTTGCAGCAAACTGCCGCGCAACCCATGAGGGACTTTTCCTCATGTAGACAGTTCATTGTAACACCCGCTTTGGACCTTTATAGTACCGCGTAGCAGTCCGCTATAAGCGGGGGGGTTTAAGGGTGTAGCAGAGTGTATTGGACGTCTTGTCAAGTTCGTCTGGAGATGGAAATCCAGCGTTGGTCGGCCTTTGAGGCAGCCTCCACTCATGGGAAACCCTCAACAATTGTATGCAACTTAAATGCACACAAGAAAGACAGTTTCTTACTGCCTCCATGTGAGGCTGTGTTGTTCCTAGGGTTGCTGTAAATCACGTTGCAACTCGTGTCAGGGGGTCCTTGACACGCGGCTCCATGGGGCTATCTCGGTGTGCTCTGGAAGACTAGATATTAAGGAAGATGTTATTATCTATTTTGAGGGAATTTCTAGCGGAAGTATTGTGCCTCTATAAGTGCTCGGCGCAGTCCTTTGCTACGTACGACCCACGGGTGGGTAGTGGGGGGACGGGCTGGCGCCGCTGCAGTGGGAGGAGCTAGATGAGTGTAAAAAAGCACTAAGATAAGCTAAAACAAGTTAACTGACTCTGTTTAATTATATAAATTAAAGTTCGCTAACAAACCGCGGGGGGAGCGGAGTACGCTCACCTCCAGCCCCGTTGCTGTTGCATGCATCAGCGTGGGCTTTCGGCAGTACGTTCCACTGAGGTCCCTCAGGCGGCTTGTTTGCAGGATGCAGCGTGTCTGTGGGGCTTGGGTTTGTTTGTTGCAGCAACAACCTTGAGATAAAGACCGCATCTCTTCTTTTTTCGTTGCCGACCCCCCTTTATAGTCTCCTCTGGGGGCACCGACAGCTGTATTGGGGTTTGTTGCTGCGGATGTGGGTTTATCGTGGAGCTGCGTTTGAACCTGGCGTTTGAAACGGCTTTCTCTTTGAAAAAACAATAAATTTAAGTATTTATTTCGATTTTTCTACCTCTTCTTGCATCGCGTCTATGCAACGATGGCCCAGCCAGCTGGGGGCTCCGAGGCGGTGGGGCGACAAGCCCGGCCCAACTTAGGCGATATGCGCTTTTATGAGCGCAAGTTTCCTAATTTGGAGGAATTGGTTATGGTAAAGGTTCAGAGAATAGCAGAGATGGGAGCTTATGTCTCCCTTCTTGAGTACAACAACATGGAGGGCATGATTCTGATGTCCGAGCTGAGCAAAAGGCGCTTCCGTTCCGTCACCAAACTCGTTAAAGTCGGCAGACTCGAAGCGGTCATGGTCCTTAGGGTCGACGCCGTCAAGGGTTATATTGACCTCAGCAAAAGCAGGTACGTGCATCTCCATTTATCCATGTCTTCATGCTGCTCTACCTTCACCTTTTCACATGTACCACATAGATGCATATATATATTGTGTATATATAAGCCAACAGTTTGTTTGTTTGTAGAACTAAGCTGTTTCAATAGGTATATAGGATCCGCATGCTGTCTCGTGCACCCGCTTATGCATATATGAGCATATGCATCATTGTATGCTCGTTGAGTTCATGTACGTTAAGTTTGTATAGCAGTGAAAAAGCAATAAAATGCGCAGCCTTGTCTATCCAAGTGTGCTGTGTATGGCATACACAGTATCCATAAAATATATAGAATATGTATTCTATATATTGTTTTCTTTTTATGTATGTAAGGTTTATCTATATGGGTATCTGTAGCGTTTCGACATGTTCGTTGTTTTGCATGCACGTAAGTACGAGCATGCGTTTGGTGTTTTTCTTCCTTTGTTCAGAGTTTCTCCTGAGGATATCGTCAAGTGCGAGGAAAGATATTCTAAGGGGAAGAAGGTCCACCAAACTGTGCGCCATGTTGCCTTAAAGCACAATCTGCGCGTAGACGAGCTCAACGCAAAGGTTATTTGGCCTCTTTACAAGAAGTACGGGCATGCGTTGGATGCGCTTAAAGTGAGTTATCAAGGATAGCCATTAATGAGGATTTTAATCATCTTCCCTTTGGTTCTTTGTGTTGTTTTGAGCACATACACATTGTGCAGATTGTTACATTACCCATTTACCTGCTGCTTGAGGAGCAAAGGATCTAGGTACTCTTAACTACGGTCACTTGGCTTACACTGTTTGCCTTTCTGTTGTTTTGGTTTGTGAGATGTGCATGCAAGTGGTTGCAGCGGTTGCTTGCTGCTCCTGCAGCGCAGCGATGCATTTTCAGCCGCTTCCAGCATTATCTTGGCTTGCTTCTTGCAGCTTGATGGAGGGTGCATGCATGCGTGAACGCTGTCTGGAGAATACTAAATTATCATTTCCCCTCTCGTGTTGCGTGTTGCATGCATGGGTTTGCATGCACTGGCCTAACGGCATGTGTGCGGCTGCCTCTTTGCAAGGCGTGTCAATTAGAGGGGTAGACAAAAGTACACTTTTTTGGGACTTTGTCTGGCGCCTTCCCTTCATTAGGTTTACCTTTTGTTTTAGGATTGGCGTCCTGAAAAGGTCCTACATATACGGTTTCGCTAGAGTTTCTTATGGGGCTGGCTACTGCTGCGTTTAGTATATGGCATGTAGTGTGTTCTACATATGTCCATTTTCGCATACTGCTGCCTGTCTACATGTCAGCATGCATGCTGACATGCATGCAAAAGCGTGCAAAGGCCTTTCTATGCGTTTATGGATGCATGCATACACTGCATACTGGCATGTGCTTGTGCGCGTAGGCTGCTGCAATAGACCCCGATGAGGTGTTTGGAGGACTTGACGTAGCAGAAGACGTTAAGCAGTCTCTTATTCAGGACATTCAGCTCCGTCTGGCACCTCAGGCGTTAAAGCTAAGGTGATTAATTAACAGTAATTATTATTCGTGTATAATATTGCTTCTGTTATGTTGCTAGGCTTGCCGGTCCGTCTGGCTATCACCTCTACCTGCTGCTGTTTGTGCGCTTAAGCTGCAGTTGGCCTCCTGTGTGTTGTTGTCGTTGCGGGCAACTATACAGGCAACCTCTCCGCAGTTCCCACGCTTGTAGTTTAATTTAATTTTGCTGCATTTCTTTAGTTTGCGTCTCCTGTTTGCGGTTGCTTGTTTGAATCTGTGTCTCTCTGTTTATCCGTTGTATCTGTCTATACATATTTCTCGCAATGCTAATGGATTTGCCATTCATTGTGCTGCTACTGCATCAGGGCTCGTGTCGACGTCTGGTGCTTCGGGCGGGAAGGCATTGAAGCTGTCCGCGATGCCCTCACTGCAGGGAAAGCTGTCAGCGATGACAAAGTTGAGATCACCGTCAAGTTAATTGCCCCTCCACAATATGTCATCGTCACGTCCTGCTTCGACAAGGAAATGGGCATGCAAAAAATACAAGAGGTAAGCGCCAACTGCTTAGGTTGCTTCTGTTACTGCTGCTGCTGGTGCTAAGTTACTACTGAAGTGGCATTGTTTCGAATTTCTTCGGCAAATGCCTAAAATCAGAAGAGCTTGCAACTTTTTTTTTTTTTACGCTTGCCTTTTCGGAAGATGGCTGGCCGTGTGCGGCTGCATGTTTGCTTCTCTGCGAGTTTCTTGTTTTCGTTGGTATTGGGTGCCCCTACATGTTCTTGTTGCATACACGGGCTATAGTGAATATATACATGCACGGCTAAATACTTGCGCGCTGTCTGGAGAATACTAAATTATCATTTCCCCTCTCGTGTTGCGTGTTGCATGCATGGGTTTGCATGCACTGGCCTAACGGCATGTGTGCGGCTGCCTCTTTGCAAGGCGTGTCAATTAGAGGGGTAGACAAAAGGATGTATTTTTTTGGACTTTGTCTGGCGCCTTCCCTTCATTAGGTTTACCTTTTGTTTTAGGATTGGCGTCCTGAAAAGGTCCTACACTCGTGTTCACTATCGGATTATGCGTGCATCGAATTGCTGCATCTTTCTTTCGCGTATTTGTTTGTTTTATCTGTGCTTGGTTGCTGCAAAACAAGATGAACACAGGCCCGCACGTGCAGCTGCATAGCATGAGCTGGTGTACGTGTATGCACATATGCAACCGGGGGAGATAGTGTTGCAGGCGTGCCTGAACAACTACAAGCGTGCATGTAAGCACTCGCGCGTGCGTGTATGTTTGTGTGCTTGCTTGGGACTTAGATTATGGTTATGGGCACGGAGGAGGAGCGGCGTCTCGAGGAGTTGTTGTTGTCGGAATCATCAGAGTCGGAGGGATCGGAGGTTAGCGAAGAGGAAGATGAGGGAATGGGTCGTGTTGAAGGCGATGTACCCCAGGATGAAATAGAAGAAGAACCAGAAGAAACAGCTGCTGCTTAACGCAAACATGAGCCCCTAGTCCTTACTATTGTTAGTGTAGTAGTTGTTGTTGTTAGGGTTAGGTGGTGGGTGGTGGGAGAGAGGCCTGCAGAGGGGCTGCTGGTGTGCTCTAGTAACGCATGGAGCGTTGGATTTGAATATTAATTCTGTACGCCTAAACAGAACTGGAAGTAATAAACTGAATAACAAAACACCCCCCTTTTATTCTGTGGCCCAATTAGCATTTGTTGCCGCGCAAAGGGCGTAGGAGTGCGGCAACTGCCGTATGCATCATCTTAGATGCAAACAGCTCATAGCCCCACAGCTCCGTTCCCTCTTGGCTTGCGGTAGGAGATGCATGCACTTTGCATGCAGCTCCAGGCTGGTGGGGTGGGGGACTGAACAGCAGAGCGGGGGTGGGGTTCTTGCGCTGAGGTGTTATTTGGTGGTGGTGGTTGAGTGGACAACCGAGCATTTTAATGAGTTGGTTGGACTACGTCGGTTCCCAATGGCGCACAGATTAGTTAGCTAGTAGTATAAGACAGGGGACAGTACCGGTGAGAATAGATCATCGGACTCGCATCGCAGAACACGCAAGCAAAGAGTCATGCATGCATGCAAGCATGCATCTTTGCGAGGGGAGATAAGGCTTGCATTACGCCGAGTAACGTTGAGGTTGCAGCAGCAATATCTGCAAAGGGAGGAGACGCCGGCAGAATAGAGAGCTGTAGCAAAGCTGTTATTAACCAGTTTAATGCTGTTTCATTTTTGTTGGAATTTGTCCTCTCCTCTTGCTTGGGCCATCTGTATGACTTCAAGGTGTGGTTTTGAGCCACTTCCTGTCTTATTGCCCCTAACTGCCTGATTCCTTACTTGCCATCAAACCTCCTCATGGCATTGCGCTCCTGACTTATGACTAAGCTGCCTGATTTTGTATGTGTGCTTGTATTGTATGCCGATAGACTGTTGCTTCATTTCAGCAGTATTTGTTGCAGTAATCAGATTGCAGTTAGTTCCTCCCAGTGGTGGGGAATTCCTCCCCCTCAATAGCACCTAAACACAGCTCCGCGTTCTGAAGCGCGGGCAGCAGCCACTGGGCTTCTGCGTGCGCTGCACGTGCTGTTCTCTGGTCGTTCGTTTCTCGATGTCCTGCTGTTTGAGGGGTATCTTTGGTGTCAGTACATCTGAGCGATGCCTCAGGTTGTGCAGCGTCTAGCCAGGCCCTTTCCAAGCTCTTAAGTGGTCCACCCCTTTCGATGAGGCCTCCATCGACAGATAAGAACATCAACTTCTTAAGGCAGTGATTTGCAGAAGCTACGGCGTCGTATTGCTGTAGCAGGGGTAAATGATATAGATAAATGTGAGCATAACACCGCAACAATCGACGAACGATCAATGCGGCTGTTTGGCGAAGTTCCTTCTCTTCCTCTTCTTCGTTCTTGTCTTGATTGGCTCCTGTAATGGGCGGTTGCCTTCTTGCTGCATCTTCTGCTGCTCCTGCCTCTGCTTCTGCTGCTGTTGCTGTGGGTGAGAAGGGGAACAAGCGAGGACTTTCGAGTTGTTTGAAGGCCCATGACATGGTTGTGGAGATGTATTCTCTTGCTGTTGGGGGTGCTTGCGCGTTGTCTGCTCCTGCCTGTTCTATATTTGTTGCTGAATCCTTTGTTTCTGCCTCCTCGTCTCTTTTGGAGTTTGTCTCTGTATCACCAGTGCCTGCTTTGTTTATCTCTGTGCATGTGCTTGACTCCTCGCTCTCCATTAGCGAGCCAGGAACCGCTGCTCCTGTAGCTGCACAGCCTTCTCTCCCCTCATCGTTCTCTCCTGCTGTCGCTGCTGCTTCTGCAGGTTCTGCTGCTGGTCTTACCGAGGGTGATGCTGCTGTTTCAGATCTATTGAGGCGCCTGTGTGGCGCACTTTTTTCTGGAGCAACAGCAAACGCAATGGGTGGATCTAATACGTGTGTTGCTGCTGCTGTTGGAGTTTGCGGGAAATTAGTGTTTCTGTCTGTTTGTTTTTCATTGCCTTCGTTTCCAGCGTTTCTTGTGTCTTCTGGTAACCCCAATGCACTGCATTCGCATTCATCTAACAGAGAAGAAAACAAAAGCTGGGCATCCTCTACAGCCTGAAACAGTAAATAACGTAACCAGTCAGCAGTAGCCACAATGCCTGGCGGGTGCAAAGCACTTCTCAGGCCTTCATCGCCTAACGAATGCAACAAAGCGGCTGATGGTGACGCAGGGCTTCCTCCTGTTGTTACTGGTACCGAGGGGCTTGATGTGCCTTTTGCTGCTAGAAGAGATGGCGAAGCCGACCAAAGGAGCAACCGCTGTGTCTCTTCAAAAGAAGAACTAGCCTCCATTGGGGTATCTGTGCATTTCATCCCTGTGAGATCAGCAGGCAACGGACGAGCTACACACGGCCCTGCATTGTGTGAAATGGTTGCGTTGGTGCTGCTGTCACTGCTGTGGCTGCTTCTTGGGTCAACTAGAGCAGAAGCTGCTTCGGCTGCAGGAGATGTGGTGCTATGTACCCCAGTACAAAAGGGCACCAGGGTGCAGCGCCTGCTCTTGCAGTTATCCATTGGACGCTGCCGAGCACTGCACACCCAAGAAGCAGAAGCAGCGTGTGCAGCAGCAGCGGCAACAGCAAGAGCCGCACAGTGAGTGAGTTTCAAGCTAAGCTGTTTGATGGCCTCCTTGTAGCACAAGACAACTGCCAATATCCAACGGACAAATAAATTGCTGCCAGCGGAGTGGGGCGGGAAAACTAGCGTGTAGACGAGCGGATCCAAATATACTAGCGAAACTCCGCGACTGACTCGCGTTTAAATATGTTAAATAACGGCCAACTAACAATTGGATTCCTTTTAGATGTCAATTTTGAGGCAAAAAGAGAAATTCAGGCAAAACGGTCCCGTGGGGTCACCGCCAACGAGCGTGGAGAGGCGGATCTGGCAGTCGAGGGCGCGGTGAGCAGCTCCACGGGTCCGATTATTAGTAGTTGCACAGCCAAATAACAAAGACATGGAGTTATTATATTATTATTACTGAATACATGTTTAAATGCTAGGCGCAAACATGGAACAGCTGCTTTTAGTTTGAACGATGCACACAACCGTCCGGTCGTCTGCACACGTCAGCTAGTGGTGACCGGAGGGCAACTGGCCAATGAACACACTTTAAAATGATAATTAGAAACATTGAACAACAATATGGGAGTTTGTACTAGAATTGTAACCTTGTTGAAGTGTTTGCAATATAAATTCCCCCACAGCCTCGGTGCCTGTACAGAGAACAGAGGCCACGCCGACAAGAATTGCCACTGTCTGTTTTTCTGGTGTTTTCCTGCCCAAGTCGCTTGAAGAATTAGGACAACTAGCCACGCACGATGCTGCTTATGCAAATTATGAGCGATGTATGATTCGGTTTCGACCGAGGAAAGCGCATCAGGGGACCGAATCCCAGGCAAAGGGGGGAGGGCAAAGAGGCGCTGTGCCGCACTAAGCAGCCCCGCCAAAGTTAAGCATACAAGACAAAATATGAAGAAAGATACTGTGAACGATTTAAATGCCTTTTCTTCCCCGATGTTTGCTGGCAAAACGCAGGTCTCTTCCTCATCGACTCCTCCATAGTTAATCTTTTACAAGTCTCGTAAACACAAATAAAAAACAATGAAAAACGCCAGGTTGACTTTTTCCACGGAAAGGCAGCAGCATCAACTCCTTCACGAGACAACTCTGCTCAAAGCCTCAGAAGGACTTTCTAGTGTAACGGCTCTTGCATGCAGCCCCAACGGATCGCGTGTGTGCGTAGCGACCACCGATAGGACCCTCCGGTTTTTGGGGGGCCCCGTCGAGGTTCCCTCAGGGCTCCCCTCATACACAGAAGAGGTGTTTGTGACAAGAGCAGCCGACAAAGGAAAACCCCACCACTTGGTGACCGGTACAGCTGATATACGCAGTTGTTGGACATCGCCTGCTATTGTAATAATAGCAACGCAATCCTATTGGTGAAAGAAAAGCAACGGCAAACAAATACAACCCTTTGCTGTGTTTTGGAAGTCTGTAGTACCGTCAGCGCACTCCTCTAAATGCATGAATGTGGACGCATGCAGGTCTGGCCTTCAGCGCTGACGGGTCTCAAGTTGCGGTTGCGCAGAGTGACGGAGTGGTGCATGTGTACGGAGTGAATAGTGAAGGACGCAGACGCATTTGCTGTCGGCTACCGCTGGGCTGTACAGCCACATGCTTGGCTTGGGCGAAAGAAGGAAACAACCTCCTTTTTATAGGCCTGATTAGCGGCAGAGTTCGAGTTGCAGATGTAGCTGCAAACAAACTAGGAACGCTGCATGAAGCGCACAGGTCAGCTTCACTCTGCAATTCTTCTCTCCTGCATACATGGATGCCGACTTTTGCATACATACGTGAAAGTCTGTGCATGCATGCATACATGCATGCATGCAACATGAAGCGAAACCCATGAACTTTTGCCGCATGCAGCCTTGAATGGGGCTATTGATACCGTGCTTCCACACGACGACTTGCCGCTCCCATGTGCTACTCTAAAGTGAGGCGATGCGTGCAGCCGCCAAAGTAGAAGCGCTGTGGTTGCTATGCATTCAGCCCCGTCACAAGCCTTGCATGCACGCAAGATGGGGCCCTCGTAGTGGCTGGACACCGCAGCGGCCAAGTGCTGCTCCACCTCCTTGCTGCCTCATCGCCTTCTGCCGCTTTGCGCAGTCTTGCAGTGTCAGAAATCAAATCCCAAGCCACATGCCCTGAACACAAAACGCTAGACAAGCACTAAACACTACGGCCCAAACGAAGCCAAAACCCAGACGCCAACCCAGCAAAGGCAAAAGCACTGCAGCGCCATCCCAATCAGTGAACGCCTAGGCGGAGAACGCAGAACAAGCGGCTTGACTATTTGGGATTGAGGTTGATTTTCTTTCACTGCAGGTTAGAGGCCCCCGTGAGCTCAGTACAGATTCGAAGTGACGCGGTCGCATGCGCAGCAGCAAACGTGGTTCTCATTTTGGGGCTGGACGGGACTGTAGTATGGCTCACTCTGTGTCTTAACATATAAGGAAGCACTTCCCGTTGATGCATCGCATGCGCAGCTCTATGCTGTCATACTGTAACACCTCTTACTAACGCACGCAGTAGATTCTGCACCTGTGCCTACACGTATATACGCTTGTGTAAACGTGTATGTTTACGTATGCAATCCTATTTATTTGTGTCTAAGCGTATGTGAAAGAGCACACGAGTAGCCATTAAATTCAACTATATGGCAATATATATGTATATACTGCATATATATGTAAACGTTTTTTATGTAGATGCACCTGCATGCTGACATCTACACATGCATCTTGAAACAAGTTCACTTCTTTCTAATGTCACTCACACATCCCTGCGTTTGTTGGTCTGCGCATGCAGCTGCAAGAAGCGGAGGTGCAGGGCTTTGGGGCTTTGCTTGCCTGGCACCCCACAGCCCCATACTTAGCCGTTGCTGTTGGGGAGGAGCTGCTGCTGTTGCTGACGCCGCATGCATTACGTCAACCGCACCCATCTCGCAAACCGCATGCATCTCCAGAACGGCATACACATGATGCATGCACAGGAAGAAACGAATCCATTCTCGTGGAGCAGCAAAAGCCAGCAGCAGCAACAGCCTGCATGCGGTGCAGTGGAGCAGTCGCAACAACAGCTCTGATGTGGGAGGGAAACAACACAAGTCTCTGTTTTGCTACTGCACGAGGCTCTGTTGAGAGGGTCACTGCCCATAAGCTGCTATCTGTGCAGCCCAATCGGCTGCAACTCTCCGTCAACCTCTGCAACACCGTATGCAAACAACCACTATAAACCATCTTCTAGTGGGCTCTGTATCTCAGGCCCTAGAGTCGTGCATGAGCACTTTAGAATATCCAGTCACATATGCATCCCATCTATCCGATGCTACACCTCAATCGTCAATCACCAAAGACTAATTAATTTTCATGTGTTTGTGAGGCGGGGTTCGCTCTCTCGGTATGATCTACCTATAAACTGTTTTTGACTCCTCATCTCTGAACACTGCACTGCCACAAAACCTAGGAATTCCAGTGAACCTAGTATGCCTGTTTCATGTGTCGACAGATCGCTGTGCGCTGCTCCTCTTCCCAAAATTGGGCTGCGCTGCACCGCGAGGAAGACGATTATGAATACCTCCAGCTTCTCTGCCCGCTGTTGCACCAGCAGCTGCAACAACAGGAGCAGATGATCCTTGCAGTGACAGCACAATGTACTGTGGGGGTAGTTGTTGGGCCAAATCGTGTGTATAGGCTGCAACAGCGAGCAAAGGGTGATCTGCATTGGCTTGGGGAGCAGAAGGGATCTTGTTTATTTCACGAGGTGCGCCTCTGTCTGCCCGTTGCACGAAGAAATGCACGGCGACTAAGACAAAGACATGCCAGCACTTACAGTGGGTTTGTGCCTTCTGGTTGATTTTCTGCGCTTTACCGAGCGAGGGCTAGGGCTTCAGTCCATAATACTAGGGGTTTAGAGCTTTTGCTCGAGGGCTGACAGCTCTCCACCTTGCATACCACTCCTCCTGAGAAGAAGCACTAGCCATGTCAAGCCTAGATATGGGCTATGTATATAGGTACATGATATGTTCTATAGTGACTATAATTATACCTAAGCATAAAGGCGAACTAATTGTTTCCGCACAACAATGCTACACTCTGCTCACCACAACCAACAGAAAACAACTGCGCAGAAGCGGCATTGCATGCAATAGCACAAAAGGAACTCAAAGTGTGCATGCACACGGGGAGTGATGCCTTGCACACGTAACTTCCACGGCGGTCTTACTGTTTAGCTCTAGCCGAAATCGTGCGCATACAACGACTTAAAAGAACGACTCTTCATGTAAACGAGGGGACATTTGCTGCATTTTCACAAATATCCGTAGGCTGGGGCGGCAATAGAAGGGGAAGCTCAGATAATTGTGGTAAACGCGGAGACAGGAGAGAAGGGTACGGCATCAGGTGTACAGACAACTGATATTGATTGATGCTGGTGTTGGTGTTGGGGCTGTTTTTTCTGTTCCTGTTGTTGTTGCTGCTGCTGCTTCGTCGACTGTAGCCGTGTGTGGTGCCGTTGCTGCTGGTGCGGCTGTTGTTTTACCCGTTATTGTTGGCGACAAAGTGTACAGACAGCAGTGACATCAGACGCTTCCATATCTTTTACTACGTCATGTTTGGCAGCTCGTTATGCCACCGCCTCTCCACCAACTCCTGAACTCCTTGGCCTTCAGCAACACTCTGTACGTTTCAACATATGTGGGGAGGCACAAAGTCGGTACTCTGCGTGCCGTCAGCAAATAAATGCCAGCATGCATGGGAATACAAGGACCATCAGTGCATTTCTACAGCGCAATTTGCCTTTATGCTGTGGACATCCAGCCCAATTGGGAGAAGACAAGCATGCGTTCGAAAATGATATTTGTACATTGCTGCATCGGTTGTTGTAACTACTAACAAACCACCACACAAGCTTAAGCCATCTACAATTCTCATTATTCTGCTGCTTGCCGGGTGTATACGAACAAGTGGTATGCACGTACAACTCCTAAAGAATTTTTCGGTGCTTAGTTCAAGTCTCAACGTCTCTGACGTAACCCACGCAGTACCAAAGAATGTTGTGCATGCAGAACTACGGACTAGTGCTGGCCCACCTAGTGGACAAACAAACTATTAGGTGCTGCTGCAGATGCAACTGTTGCTGCTGCCAGCAGCAACTGGTTGCTGTCAGCAGTCTCGTCTCCTGCTGCGTTTGCTGCTGCTGCGTTTGCTACTTCTGCTTGTGCTGCATTGCTACCGGTTTCCGCTTTTCACGCACCTTCTGCAGCTGCATGACGGGGGCTTGCGGGTGTTTACGTGATGTGAGAAGCACTGGAAGTATGTATTAGCACATGTATTAACGCTCGTGGCTCTGCTTGTTTGTTTATTGTGCTGGCGTATATTTGCTGAACAGGGTCTTGGCGATATCAACAGGAGAACACGTAACAAATATCCGCTGTGATGTTCCCCCCGTTTGGTTTTCAGTTACAGAGGAGTACCTTACACAAATACACACAAGAATTTTAGCCTAACTAACACATACATGCACTAATAAACACAAATACCTTACCTAAAGGAACGCAGGATGCAGAAATTCTCAACACAGAAAACCAGGCGTAGAAAAGGTTGCATGTATTTGCCGTAAGACATCTACAACCCGAGTACTGCCTAGTTATAGCCACTATTCATGACGTTCTGTTTGCCACGGCTGCCGTTACTGCTGCGGTTGTTACTGTGTTGCTGATGCGTTTGCTCGCACGTACGTTAAGAATCCTGTTCTGGTGCTCTACGGGGCTTGCAGGGGCGTTGCCTTTTTGTTGGCAACTGGGGGTTTGCATTTTGTGTACTTCAATGACAAAACCAAAAGCGAAGGACATCAGCAAAAGCATCACCTCATTCTCAAGGACTGTCAACATGCCGAAATGCTGCAACACAGTTGTCTCCTCGTTGCTCAACAAAACAGCACCATCTGCGTCTGGTATAATGACAGCCACCATTTTCTAGACCAGTAATAGTGGTAGCAACAATAAGCCTTCCTACTGCTGCTGCCTTCATTCCCGGCTGAAGTGTTAGTACTTTTGGTGTGATTCCTGCAGCAACTGCTGTTCTTGGCCTTTGTTTTATTTGCTGTTGCTGTGCGGAAAGAAATTATTTGTCTCGTGTATATTGTTCCGCTGGTGCAGGTATAATATTACTTGCCTCAACGACATAGAAGTGCTCCAACTCAAAGGCCGGCTAGTTCGGTTAGAAGTAAAAGCAGCCAGTACAGGCAGAAACAACAACAGCAGCAACAGCAACAGCAGCAGCTGCATTAGCAGCTATAGCAGCTACATCGACAATTGCAGCACAAAGAACAGCGGAAGAGCCATTAACAGCTTGAACACAGGAAACAATTCATTGCCAGGTGGTACACCGTGTGAGGTCTATGTGGTGGTGGAGACAGAGAACGCTGGGGAGAAGCAAGAGCGTTTGTCTCCTCTTCGTCTTCAGTTTGAAAGCTGTCTTCTCCGGCAGCAATATGAACAGGTGTCTCTTGTACCCCTAGAATAATCATATGGTCACGTTTGTTTGACACTAAACTGCACGGGAAATCCTACCACTTAACTGCACAACATTACGGTATGCAGCAGCAGGATTGCAGTGTTTTGAGGAATTATAATATCATGCGTTTATGGTAGGATTTGATACAGAGAAGATACGGTATGATATATGATATCGTATGATATGATATGGCATGATATGGTATGGTATCACAACCAATAGCTTATAATATGTCCAGAGAAAAGGGGCTCCTTCGAGTACAACCCCAGCGGAATATATTTGTACAGCAGTTACAACGCCTGAACACAATTTTGCTGCTTGTGAATGGAGTAGACTCCAGGGCATGCGAACCAATTGCTGGGATGTAACAAAACTTCGAGCCAAGAACCTTACTGAAAGTTCTCCCTACATGCAAACTTACTGCTGCATGCAAGACGCTTCTTGAGGGGACCTGCATTTGTTCCATGCTGATGCTTTGCTGGTCGCATGTATGTTGCAGGCAGCGCTGCTGCTGCGTGAGCTGCCTGAGACCTCTGTGAGCTGCTACTTGTGGAAACGACTAGAGAAAGCCGCGCTTGGCGAAGAGACAGTTTGCGGCCTTTTGTCGGAGTTGCAGCGGGGCGGAGACACCAGCAGTGTGATGGAAACAGTACGGCAGCGAGTCGCTGTTGCTGCTGCTGCTGCTGCCGCTGCAGCAGACGCAGCCAATGCTGCTTTCCTAAACGACCTACAACAAACAGGCTTCAGGGGCGGAGGAGCATCGTTTGCAGCGCAGTCAGTCTTCAGTGCACTTTATCAAACATGCAACTACTGGTTTCTTTCAAATCCAGCTATACCGTAACCGTTTGTAGTTAAATAGTCGACTATTGGCACTTACTGTCGAGATTTTGAAGATCGACCATATTGGGTAGAGAGCAAAGCTAGTGCTGTGGGGTTCTTTTCGAGGTGTGTGTACAGCCTAGCCGTCTTTAGCGGCAAATTTGAAGAAGCGCAGAAGCTGCTGATGCAGCGACGAGAGACAGACACGCTGCAGCAGCTTCAACAACAGCTCCACAGGTGCTTGTTGCCCTCTTGTTTCAGTCTGTATAAGACAGCCGTCAAGTTGTTTAATTATTAGTACTGTGCTGATGTCAGTATTGCACAGCCTCGCCTGCTCATAGACTGATCAGAGGAACACACACAATTTGGAGTATGAGGCAGGCGGCAACTCGTACTCCTATTTCTACTGTTGTTTCTGTTACTGCTGCCGCTGTTGCTGCTCATGCTTCAGGTGGCAGGACTGGATTAATCTATTGGAACAACAAGAGGACCCGAGGGCCGCGGATGCCAAGAAAGAGTTCAAGGCATTTCTTTTAGCAGAACATCGTGTACGCCAACTCGACCTTATTATGTCTTGAAACTGCTTAAATCGCTAATTATAGTCTACTAAATTATGAACAGAAGCCCTAAATGATGGCACATCGGACACAGTGGTGGTCCAGCAGAACAAGTGGTGGTCTGTACCATGCGTGAATGCAGTACGAGGAGGCGGCGGCGATTGCTGCAGCGGAAAGAAACTCGAAGGAGGCAGTTGAATTGTTTCTCAAGGCCCGCGTCCCCTTGAGGGCTGCCGCCTATATTTTCTCCTCTCTCCCCGCTCACCCCCTGACCTATTCCTCTTCATCTGAGATCACTGAAGTTAACGACAATGATGAAGTATCCACAGCTGAGAATTACGCTTCTCTCGGTGGACTAGAGACCGTAGACACCATTGCGAACGAACTAAAGGAAATTGAGCTGACAGAAAAAGCTGCTGAACTGTACAGACACGTGGGCCAGTGGACAAAGGCACTTTCGCTTTACCAGTAAGCCATCTAGTGATCATTCATTGCCTATCTCTGGCTGCATGCTTGCCGCGGCAGTATTTTTTCTGTGCTCTATCGGCCCAAAAACGTCCCGTGCCTGCGGCGTACCTCCTACATTTCCACTGGATCTTTTCCTTAGCTTGTTCATTTCTGTACGATATCTTTCCTTAAGCTTGGGGTGGTTTCTGGAGTTTTCGCAAAGCTCCACTTACAGAAGGGAAGTAGGAGAAACAGCGTTATAATGCTCTCCTAATTCTTTTGATTTACCATTCGGTATACGTTTAAATGGGCCGGTGTAAACGCACATAATTGTGCTAACAACCACTATCCCTACTACCTCACCAGTTAATAAACGGCAAATCCACTATTTGGGGTCAAGGGTCATACTAGCAGCGGTTATTAGTGGCAGTCGTAGAGGTGCATTGAGTGGCAGATGGCATTTCTTCGCTTTTGCTTGTGTATCTGTGCCTTTGTGTAATTTGTCAAATCGGTTCGCAAAACTCAGGCAAGGCAGAAATTACGCAAAGGCGGTGGAACTAGCAGAAAATGTGTCGCCCGATCTTCTGCCGCAGCTGCATGCGGAGTGGGCTACTGATTGCCTACACAGAGGAGAGGTAAAAACGCAAAATGAACAACACGAAGCAGTAAATTAAACAAAATAACATGATATCGGACCTAGCAGAAACCAAAAGTACAAGCCAGCTGGAACACGAATGAATCAAGAGAAGATGGGTTTAGAGAGCACACAAACCTGTGCAAACGCACGAAATAATTAGCCGGCACCTGCATCTAGGCTGACGGATAAGAAACGAGGGGGAAAGAAAACAGAAGCAACAGGAAAACATAAGTGCACAGGAGAGCATTATGCATGTGGAAGCGGCGGTTGCAGTTAACTGTGCCTTGTAGATAACGTCCTTCATCCCAGAACATTTGGGCTGTGTTTAGGGTTCGTGTGCATGCGTGCATGCACACAAGCCCCAGGGGAATGCATACAAACGCACGTATGCATGCATTTGGATGCAGGCCGAAGCTGCAGTGCTGCATTTCACAGCAGCTGGCTGCGGTGACAAAGCAGTGGAGGCGTGCGTCCGGGGGGGCCTCCTGAGACAGGCGAGGCAGTTGCTGAAAGTACAGAAGGGCCCGCTGGTTCCGCAGCAGCTGCTCAGCCTGGGGAAACAACTGGAAGAGGCAGGAGATTTATCAGAAGCAGAAGAGGCGTACTTAGACGTTCGTTCCCTCCCTGTAGTTCGCTATACAAATGTTGCAACTCAGGGTGGCTACGCATGAACCCGTCATGACATAGGAAAAGGCATTGGGGTTGAAGGTCTACTGCATGGGTAATCTGTTCAGGCGAATGCCGCGACAAGAGCAGTGAAGATGAGGATGGACAGGGGACATTTGGCTGCTGCCTTGAAGGTGAAAAGACACTCACGGCGCAAACATAAACAGCAGAACCAAAATACGACTAAACGAAACGCAGTAGAAATGGTTTGTAAGCAGTCACTGCCACAAACATCCAGGGTAGGGAATTTGAGTTGTGTGCACTTCAGGTGGCGCACAGAGCGGCAGAAGACAAGGAAATGAAGCCCTTTTTGCAGAGGCTTGCAAAACAATTGGCAGCAAATAAAAAATTTAAAGTAATCAATGCTGTAATGCTGTATGAAGATCTTCCCGATGCCTGTCTCCCTGCTTCTGTCTTTGTCTATCTATCTGCCTACGCCTACATCCTTATTTCATGCTTGTCTATAAGTTTGTCTATATCCTTGATTGTCAGTGTTCTCGTTTTCATTTTCGTGCGTTTGCTTGTCTACTTGCCTGTCTGCTTATTTGTTCGCTTGTTAGCACGTTTCGTTGCTATTTTGTCTGCAACTCTGCTCATTCCCCTCTGTCGCTGTGTGTTCTTGTTCTCCTTTGCTCCCTTTGTCTGCGTTCATGTGTGTTTTTCGCCCCGACCTCCGTTCAGCTTTTGTTTGCCAGTGTGCAGCTCTGTTTGACTCTCTACATTTCATATGGTGTGCTACCCTCTTTGTGTCTGTTTCAAACGTTGCGTCTTTGACCTCCCGTTGGATTCATCTAACATTTATAGGACGGTGCATGCAGACATAGCGTGGGCCAGCATGTCATCTGAGGTTAAGTAGGAACTGCAAGCGCATGCAGTGCTCGCAAACGCAGGACGCGGAGGCGCTCTTGCTGGCTGTGGGGGACTTAGAAGGAGCTTTGCATCTTATGCAGGCCTATAAACAATTCGATCGTTTGCTACTTCTTCTTGATTCTGTTAGGCAAGCAGCTACAACAAATTAATAACAAAAGTAGAAGCCAAGAAATAAGCAGCAATCAACACACGGCTATCGAGAAGTGCATAAAGCAACACACACCTGCATACAAACCACTTCAGCTACAACGTCTTGTATTTATGTGGTTACTCGTTTCCGCTGTTGTGTGTCAGCTTGGATGCATTCTTATATGCTCATTTGACTACTCAGTTGCTTCCACCAGCGTTTGTTCGCTCTTTTTGTGGGTGACGGTTTTAGTGTTCGCTTGTTGATGCGTCTCGTTGTTTGCTTGCGTGCCTATCTGTTTTCCTACATGTCGGGTGAGTTTACTGTTATCACGTCGCAAACGAGTGCTGTAGGAGAGCAAGCATACAATATGTTCTGCTCTTTCTTGAGGGGTTAATGGATAAGACGCGGGAGACACGGTGTCTGTTGCCTCGGTTATTGCCTCCGTTGCCGGCCGTTAATCCATTCTCCTTGCCTGTGACACCCGTAGAGTCTCCCTACCTTGTTTGTTTCTGCACGTTTGTGCTGGCTCCCTCTGCGGTGTCTTGGGGGTTGCCTGCAGTTCTGAGAAGAGGGAAATTCTCTGCAAGCGAATGGCCAATCAACTCAGAAGCAGCAAGTGCCATCAAGAAGCCGAACGCCTCTTCCTCGGTAACATCATCTCTGCTAGCAAGCATGCATGCGTTACATATATGCAGCTGCGCAAGTAAATGCGTGTGAAATTACAGAAGCGTGCATGTTTCTCATTTATGATGAGCTCCAGTTGCTGCGAGGACATGCATCACGACAAATTACAATCTCTTAAATAGGACGCGACTTTGCGACCCTTGGACCCATTACACCAACATTTGAGTTCACGTTTGCATTCACGCAAGTATGCATCGCTGTGCGGTACGTTTGCAGCATGTGGAGCTTGGCAAGAGGCAGCCGATATGTACAGAGAAGAAGGAGAATGGGTAGAGGCGGAGCGCGTTGCTGTTGCTGCGGGTGGGGCTGCAGCAGGCACACGCATGAAGATTCTGCATGCAAGAGAAATCCTTAAGACGCAAAGCCCCGAGGCAGCGGTTCAAATGCTTCTCAAGGTCATTGAACTCGACAACTAAAAGCCTTCTTTAAACGTGAATTGAACGACAGCAGCTTCTTCCTTTCTACGTTGGTTCAGCGCATGCTCCAGTCATGCATGCATACACTCGTGCTTCCACGCAGAAAACGTTGGAAGCCAGAGCATTCCAGGCTGCAGGAACCCTCACGGAATGCTCACGCTCGTGCGTTCCGTGGTGTTCCGTTGCGTGCTGTACTTGCAGCGCGGTGAACATGCTGCAGCAGTAGACTTGGCAGTGGAGGCAGAGGCATTTGACTTGGCTGCGGAGACAGCCGAACTCCATTGCAGCGACAAGATCGCTGAGGTGCATGTACAGCTCGGCAGGCATAGAGAGGCTGCAGGGCAACTCAGGGAAGCAGAAGAGGCGTATCTCAAGGCCCAGTGCCCTGCTGCTGCAGTCGCGCTATACAGGAAACGCGTTCGTCGGCTCACGGAACATATATATATATATATATATATATA